CTGATGAGCACTCACTCTCTAACAGACGTTTGAAGCTTGGACTTCAATATGCTGTCAAACTAAAAGCCTACTCAGATAATCCTGCCTACAGCTGTGTTTTTAATCCAATTTATGAAGATATTTTTGCAAAACATGAAAATAAAATTCCTCCGTTAGGTATACGTTTAAAACCACATTTAGCTTCTTTTGATTTAAAATCTGTTGCTCAAGTTGAAACTTGCAAATGTCCTCCATGGGAACTTCCCAAACCAAAAATGATATTTGATCTCCGTGAACACAATAAAAATAAAACAAATCCTCTTTTAATTCAGCAACGCTATGCTGAAATCAAAGCCAATTATTCAGATTTTTCAACTGTCTATACTGATGGATCAAAAGATGGTGACAGAGTTGCATCTGCTGCTGTCTTCAGGGACAGAGCTGCAACTCTCCGTTTGCCATCTGATGCATCGATCTTTACTGCTGAAGCAGAAGCAATAATTTTGGCTTTGAAATTTATTGCTTCTTCAGATAAATCCAAATTTATTATATGTTCTGATTCACTTTCATGCTTACAAGCTATACAAAATACTAAAATTAAAAACCCAACAATTCTCAAAATTTTATATGTAATGAGGAATTTAAAAATTCTTCTTAAAGAAATATTATTTTTATGGGTGCCGAGTCATGTTGGAATCCTTGGAAACACAGCTGTAGACCTTGAGGCAAAGAATGCCCTGGGTGACCCTTTATCTAACTATACCATATACCGATTTTAAATCTAATATTAGAGAATATGTTTTTAATATATTGAAAAATGAATGGAGTAAAAAAGATGGTAATAAATTACATGAAATTAAACCTAATTTATGTAAACCTTTCAATAATTTTATGTGCAGAAAAGATCAGTGTGTTATTTCTAGATGTCGTATTGGTCATACTAGAATAACACACGAATATCTTTTAAAAAATGAAGTAGAACCACAATGTATACCTTGTAACTGCAAGTATACTATTAAACATGTTTTAATCAATTGTATTGACTTTGCTGATATTCGTAAGAAGCATTTCAATGTCAATAATATGTATGATTTATTTAATAATGTTTCATTTACAAATATTGTTTCATTTTTAAAAGAAGTTGGAATATATTCTAAAATATAAAAATGTTATTATATTTAAAACGATTTTAAATTTTATCACGTTATCTTAATGTTCATTTTTATTTGTAAATAATCAATTTGCTTTAATCTAGAATTTTAGTTTATTGAAGGACCTTTTGTCTGATTTTAAGAATATGCTTTAAATTGTAAAAAATATTCGAATTAACTCTCGCCGCGATATAGCCTTGTTGTGCTAATGCGGCGTAAAGCAACCAACAATCAATCAATCAATCTAGCGACAGGGAAAATATTCGGCCCTGAACTTGGAATAGAATAACCGATTATTTGGGAAAACTTTCAAAGTCGACGAAACAAATATTCATAATTCATTGAACTTAGAACAGGGTTTCTGGTTAAAATCGAACTGTTTAGAATAGCTTTAATTTTGTCTACCTGGTGTTGCATTGCATTGATGGTAATTTTATGAACGTCTTAAAATTCACTAATTCAGGTTTTGAGCCAACCACACACTAAAAAATATGGTCGTTTGTATTACCCAAGGATGGAGATGGTAAATCCGATGTGACGTTCTCTGCACACATAGAACCTCTGCAATTGTAAAGCAAAATATTGTCCCTCAAGACAATATTTCATGACGATGTATCATAAAATATTGTACTCGTGAAAAATGTCCAGAGAAGGACAAATTTTCATAGTGAAATTTTGTCTGTATATAGACAATATTTCACAGATGATTACTATGAACTGTTGTCTTGTTAAAGGAAGGTTATATTTTGTGTATATTGAGACAATATTTCATAGACAGAGGTTATCAACATATATTCATGTTAGATATTGATATTTTATTTGAATGAAAATAACAAATAAACACAAATTAATATTCAAGTTACATTGTACTCCTGTACTTCCTAAAACGTTTTTGCGAAAATATTTGTCAATCTAGTATTTACAAATACAATCAGTAAATTCAATTTTAAACTTAAACTAGAACACACCCGCGAAATCGCGGGCATTTAGAGCGTGTTTGAAAGTATGTTAACTTGTAGGAAGAATTTTAGTAAAATATTTTATGACCGGAGAATTTCAGGAAAGGTATCAAAAGTCATAGGTACTTGGGGACAGGACAATTTTTTAGCCCTCCACCTTACTTCCGAAATCCATTAATTTTTGTCTTCTTTTGATTCAATTATTTTCGCGTTTTTCTGTATGCTATGAACAGACATATACTATAATCTCTATGTAATATAATTTTCAAATTCAAATGCGGAATCCGTTGTGCTAAAATGGAAGTTATATCAAATATTATTTTACTACAATGACGAATATGTGATAAAATTTCACTATGGGTACTCTGTACTTTCAAGTCAATTACTTATAACGGACAACATGAAGAATTCATTTCAACATCTCCGTGTTATTTATCAAACAGTTTTAGTTCAAGGCCGTAACTAAGCCTAATATTTTTTTTTAGTGAGGCACTGTTCAAAAAATTTGGCAGGGCATGGGATAAATTGTGCAAAATCCTGCATTCTGGGCATTTCCAGAGAGCTTAATTGACATCTTTTTAATTTTGGACACTTTTTATATAAATTTTTCATATTTTAAGACATGTACTAACCACCAAATTTTTAACAACTTTATTTAGATTTATATGTCGGATAAACATCCAAATATCAATTTGAGTCTGTCGCCAGAACGTAGAATAAACATCGATTCAGTAGTTTGCCAATTTTTCTATGGCCGGTTTCGTCAAATCGTTTCAGAACATTTGGTCTGCTGACATCCTTATCGCGATGAACATGTAGCATGGCAAGACCGCACAGTCTCTCGCCACTCATGCATGCTCTTTCCCAAGTTTTCAGTCGTCTTAGGGCAGAAAAAGAACGTTCACAGCAGACGCTCGTCACTGGCAGAGTTAATAAAAGCACAAGAACACGTCTCGCGTTTGGGTAAAAATCCTGATGTGCGTATACTAGAGCTTGCTGAAGGGAACTGGGAACAGATTCCTTAACTGTGAACTTTGTTTTCCATCTTAAAATATCCTGCTGCCAGTTTTCAATGTCTGGCAAATCCGGGTTGTACGCTTCTTTTATTTCATCTATGCATTTGTCTGTCAGGTAGTCAAATTTTCCAGGTAAAAGGTATTGACCCATCATCATTTGTCACTGTTCTTGTGGGAATCTTCTTTCAAGCTCAATACACACGTGATCTAAAAAGGCATAGAAAATTGAAACTCCCCAAAGCTGTTCTGCCGAGTCAACATTTGGATTGTCTCTGTGAATTTGCCTACCAACTCTTCGCCGCGGCTGCAAAATAATTTCTACTACATCTGCAAAAAACACGGGCACTCTCGAATAGTTTAGAAAACGCTTCCTCTCATCGGATCGATTTCAGAGTTCTAAGTAAGTTCCGTGCCTCATCAAAGGCCACCACCATATCAGTCAACTTTTTGCAAGGAAAGCGTCAAAGGCTTCAAAAATGATAAGACATACTGTGCAACAACTAGAGCCATAATGAATTCCGGGTCTTCCATTAACCTTCGATGACCACCTGCCTTAGACTTTGAATCACCACTGCTTTTTTCCTCAATCTTATTAACAGCATGGTAAAGTTTTTCGTAATTTGTGATGATTGCGGACAATGCGTCTACCCGAGCCGTCCAACGGGTTTCACTTAATGGTTGTATGGATTATTTCTGCATTGCTTCCTGCAATAACTTACCACTGCTATCGTCTTCCTCGTGGATTTCCATTATCTTATTCATAAGATCAGACTCGGTAAACATTTCATCTTTAAGTATATTCTTTCTGTTCGTTGGAGCACAAATGAACCAGGTCAGTTGAACCGCATTATCCATTATATTTCGGATTTGGTTAACAACCTTGCAACTTTGTGTCACAACTAAATTAAGGTTGTGAGAACGACAATGAACATAATAAGCCCTAGGACAATTTCTTCGAATGCGAGTTTGCACACCATTCACGTGTCCACTCATGACACTAGCACCATCATAGCCTTGTTCTCTTAATTTTGCAATGTCTAGTCCCCACTTCTCTAAGTATGTCATTATGTTCTCAGCAATGTTTTCAGCGTCTGTTTTTGTAAGTTCTACGAAGCCCATGAATTCTTCTCGAACCTCCGTCTTTATACTGTCTACGAACCGAATGCATAATGAAAGCTGCTCCTTTACGCTGACATCTGTTGTCTCATCAGCGCATACAGAATGGTATCGGCTAAGTTGCAGTCATTAGCTATCTTCTCGCGTATCTCGATCTCGCAGCAATAAATAAGTTCATTCTGTACCTTCGGGGATAGGTAATGTGGACCTTGTGACTGCAAATGGTGACGTAAAATTTCATCAAATTTAGCTATACACAATCGACAAAATATTGGAAATTACCGTCTTCCCTTTTTAGTTACTTATCCCAGTTGCCCCGGAGTGCAATATTCCGTTTTCCCAAACTAACAATAACATCTATAATTGCTAGCAGTATCTGACGATTACGAACTACCTTGCTCTTGTACGCTTTGCAGACAGACTACTACAAATGTCTGGTTTACTTTCATTCGAAACCATTATAAGATTATCGGCCTTTTCTTTCGCAGCAGAGTGTAATTTGCTATTCTCTTGTATTTTAAGTGAATCTCTCTTGTCACCTGATGCGTTTTCCAGTCACGAAAACCAATCATTGCAAACATTCCGTCACCGTGACCGTCACCAAACACTAAGCAGTATGAACAATAAGCGGCATCTTCTTCAACCGAGTAGCGCAGCCAAGGAAAAGTTTTTTCCCATTCTTTGGAATACTTCCGTCCCTTTGTCATTGGAAATATTTTTACATCGCTACTGCTCGGAGTTGAAAGAATCTTCAATTTTTCATTTTCAGACAAACTTTGTTACTTAATAACGAATGGATCAAATGATGGGCCAATCTTCGTAACCTTTTCCATTATTTCATCAGTCTGTGTTTCTAGCGGTAGCACACTATCATCAACACAATGATCGATGTCTACTTCCGATTCCTTCTCCATCAGCAATTCCGTAGCAGCATCGGTAGTAACAGTTGTGTCTGAAAAAAGGAAATAAGCTCAATCACATCACACAGTCGCTGTTACAAAATATTGAACTTGCTTTTATGCTAACAAAGAGTGAACAAACTAGGGATAGAATGAGATAAGATACATGTATATGATTCTATCTAGAGTTCGTTTACTTGTGTGATATGGGTACGGGGGAATTGGACTGAAGTTTTCGCCGTTTACATGTAGGTCC